ATGCGTCACTAGAGAGGGTAAGAAAAAGATTGAAAGAGAATTTTACTTTGACCACCAATACTTCATCACTGGGAAAGCTGTTTTTCCAGCTTCCCCTATGCCAGCCTGCAGGAGAAGGTAAGGGAATCACGTTTGAATTTCCCTTGTGCTCTCCAGAGGCAGTACTCCCATCCATGCTTTACAAAAACTAGCTGCAATAGCAACTGGCTGTATTTGGAAAAGTCTGGATAAGATTGTGTCCACAATGTCAGTGAAAATGGTTTAGTCTCAACTAAATTAACTCATTTCTAGATCTCCACAGATCCAAAAGACAAAGCAGGCGCCCAGAACGACTCCTGTTGGTGCCCTGCTACATCAGAGTAGCACTGATTTATTGCTCCTGTCTATCTCTGTATCTAGTAAAACCCCAAGCTACGCAGCTCTTGTGCCGCTTTCTTTTTTCACCTCCCAGGTTTGGCATTACTCCTTCTGCCCCTTTTACAGCTGCCACCATGCTGACTATCTCTGGAGAAACGGAACCAACAGGAAGATCAAGGTTTGGGTCCAGCCTTGGGTTTGGGTGCTACCTTAGGCTATCAAAGATCAAGAAAAAGCTTGCGAACAGTAACCCAGATGCCTCCATTTCTTCAAGACCGGTGCAGATCCACGTGATGCCTTCCGGTGTGCCAGGCAGTGAAGCAGCCATAGATATTGTGGGACAGCTTGGAAATACGCATAACTGAAGGAAAAAATTCAGTAAAGCAGAAGAAATGTCTCCAGACAGAAAGAAGCAGTAAAGCAGCACTGAGGAGAAGGTAAGCCCACCTACCCTGGGTTCTTGGATTTTAGCCAGTTCAGCAGTGCATCCTTGTTGAAGGCTGCAGTGGCCACCATGTTGCTCTTGTTCAGCTGGATGTTGGCAATGGTGTCTGAATGCATGACTACTTCTATCAGTCCAGTCTTGTCTCCTGTGGAGAGGCAGCCATAAGGGGTCATCCTGCAGAGATGAAAGAAACCCTTCCACTGAAATCTTGCCCAGAACTGCGTTGTGTTGACTTTTAAGCTTTCCCTTGTCTATTTCATACCTACTCTGTATTTCTACTCCTCAGTACCACAAAACCTGACTAGCTGCTCATAGATTACTAGACAGACCTGTTGGGGACAAAATAAGCTTGTAGGCCAAATGGGCTCACATGATTTATCATTGCAGTAGGATAAACTGTGTGCACATTGCTCACCTCAGGTCCAGGCCCTCCTGCTTCCACAGGATGTCCATCAGCTGGATCATCTGCAGAGTCAGCATGTCCTGACGAAGATCTGTGCCGCATTGCAAAGGAAAAAAGGGTTGTAAGTATCTCCCGTTCTCCCCTCCTCTGCTGCTCTTGCAAGTGGCACTTCTTGTGCCCCTGCAGCAGGCTGCTAGAGGGGCCTATGCCATGTTTGTCACTTGCTAGGTCTAGCTAGTAAAGAACATCAGACAGAGCACTGTTTAGTAGTGCAGTAACAGCGTAAAGCCACCCTACCTCAATACCTTAACTCAGACATGATTATACTAACAGAGGTATATGCTACTACTTCACTTTGCCAAAGCTCCTCCCATAACAGTCAATGGTAGCACCTCAGAAAACATCTGTCTGGACACAACAGTGAGCAGCAGCCACTCAACCCTACAAAGCGTGGACTGCTGGAGCTCTTTCAGACCTCACATCAGTTTCCTTTCTACTGTGCAAGGGTATCCAGCTACTACTGTGCTAAAATCTAATTAAGAGGGCAGCAAAGTGAAATTTAGAGGAGAGTTGATTATATCTCCAGATTACTGTCAAAAAACTCCAACACATTGATGGTCCTCATTTATATATCATCTTAATGGTCCATATTTAGGCCCACTCACCACAATAAATATTTTAGACTACTATGCCTATGAAAACAGAGCTTTTAAAGACTTACCATCTCCATTTTTAAAAATAATACCCACTCCACCTCCACCTGTCTCTTCATTATTAAACACAATCCATAGAGGTTTCATTTTGGAGTCCATAAAGGTGCACTGATCCACACTAGAGAAAATAAAAATATTACCATCAGAGTTTTCAGCTGTTAAAAAAACTGGCCTTCTAAGCTGCAAATTCAACAGCATCCACAAATGCTAACATGACTGGTGACTTCCATTAGAAAAGATGACCTTGAGGTAACCAGAAACCTGGCTCTACTGCTGAACAAAGCCTGGGGCACAAATTAAGAGATGCAGCCATGTTCCTTACCAAACTTCAGCGAGGATAATGTTGGGGTTCAGGGGGGACTGGAGGTGGGAAAGTGCTTCAAGGTAAGTTTCCTGCTTCATGCACACATGCATCATCTCCTTGGTTTGAGGCTTGGTGGCCTTCTGAGAACTCACTTTAACAAAGTCATTCAGAGCTTTCATCTTGTTGAGTGCTTCTCCCTGGAAAAAGGGAGGGATGGAACAGGATTAACAAATAGGAAAGTGCTGGAAGAAGTTTAAAAAACCTATTAAAATCTACTGTGAAATGCAAACTTTGGTTGTATCTCCTACCTTCTCTTTAACTTGTGGCAATTTCACACTTTGCAACAAAACACATTTAGCAGTATCTGTTTGAGGGAGATCCATAATCAATTATGGATATTCTGCTGGGCATAAATGCATTCCAAGGTAATGACTGCAGTCCTAAATACCAAGAACAATGCACATTATCGAGCACCAAATGAAGAAGTGAGGTGCACTGGCTAGAAAAGTGAGGATGAGACCTATAGCCCCTGCCCTTCAATGCTTTTGGGGAGTTCTGGTTATGTGAAGTGCCACTTGGTCTTAAATAGCAGCAGCACTGGTTTGTGGGCACATCTTGGTCCCTTGCTTCTGAATTAGGTACAGTGATCCTTCAGAGATGGTAGAGAAGTTTTAGAGAGTGGGTAAATAGCAGGATTATCTCCACATAGCAGCTGAATGAAAGAGTGCACTGCTCCAAGGCAGAGAGCCAGTTGCGATCAGCTCCTTCTAAATGAATCATAGAATCACTTTGGTTGGAAAAGACCTTTGAGATCATAGAGTCCAACCTTTAACCTAACCCTGCCATCCCACCACTAAACCATGTCCCTAAGCACCTCATCCATCCTTCTTTTAAATACCTCCAGGGATGAGGACTCGACCACCTCCCTGGGCAGCCCATTCCAGAGCCTGACAACCCTTTTGGTGAAGAAGTTTTTCCTAATATCTAACCTAAACCTGCCCTGGCACAGCTTCAAACCATTCCTCCTCATCCTATCATCTGTTACCAAGGAGAAGAGGCCGACCCCCACCTCACTACAGCCTCCTCTCAGGCAGTTGTAGAGGGCGATCAGGTCTCCCCTCAGTCTCCTCTTCTCCAGACTAAATAACCCCAGTTCCCTCAGCTGCTCCTCATACGACTTGTGTTCCAGACCCCTCACCAGTTTGGTTGCTCTCCTCTGGACCACTGCTGGCTCATATTCAGCCGGCTGTCAACCAGTACCCCCAGGTCCTTTTCCACCAGGCAGCTTTCCAGCCACTCTTCTCCAAGCCTGTAGCGCTGCATGGGGGTGTTGTGACCAAAGTGCAGGACCCGGCCCTTGGCCTTGTTGAACCTCATACAGTTGGCCTGGGCCCATCGATCCAGCCTGTCCAGGTCTCTCTGCAGAGCCCTCCTCCCCTCCAGCAGATCCACACTGCCACCCAGTTTGGTGTCGTCTGCAAATTTACTGAGGGCACACTCAATCCTCTCATCCAGGTCATTGATAAAGATATTAAACAAGACTGGCCCTAGGACTGAGCCCTGGGGGACACCGCTTGTGACCGGCCGCCAACTGGATTTAGCTCCATTCACCACGACTCTCTGGGCTCGGCCATCCAATGGCAACTCATTAAACTCATCTAATCACAGCAGTGGTCTTTGAACATTTCAAACCATTCTAGACACATAGTGTAGCCTGGGACATGTGCGGGTGAGTAAGAGATGAGCAAAGTCACATGTGATGGGGAACTCCAGGCTCTTAACAGGATATGCCAAAACCAATACAGCAAGTTAAAAGGCTTTTTCTGCATTACTGATAACATTAAGTTGGAAAAGCTAACAGCTGAGAACCAGCTCCAAGCAAAAGAGAAGTGAACCTTGTGGCTAAAAGCAATTGTTACCTGTTTCATCAGAACTTTCATATGGTGGGTGCTGCCTCTGCAGTATGCTTCCAGGATCAGGCCAAACCTCAACGCAACGGCAGGAACATGCATTTCTGACCTAGGGGAAGAAGGGAGGTTCAAGCAATTCTGACTCACTACAGGGAGTGACTAATTCTCCCATTCATGCCAGCACAAGTGGCTGGAGGTGGGGGGGTGGGGGAGGAGAGTGCAGAATATTAGCTGCTGTTTAGATTCTTTCTATGTACGGGGGGAGGAGAATGAACCCACCCCAGAATGTGATGTAGAAAAAACATTGCTTGAAGTGATGAGACATCTTTCTGAATGACTAAATTGCTAACCACTCCTTTGAGAACATTACTTAAGGACAGGTCAGAGCCTATGGCTGAGAACTGGCAGGTGGCCATGAATGTCCCAAACATGTCTGAAAACAGAACCTAATCCAAACACCACCACCACAACAACAAAAGAAAAAAAAAAAAACCAACCAACAAAAAAAAAAAAAAAACCCCCACACCACCCCAAAAAAACCCCAAACAAGAAAGGTTTTGTGTGCTCCTGGAATAATCCCTATTCAGCCTCCCCAGTGAAAAGCAGCAGTTCCTGGGTAATCACAGCAAGGAAATCCCACCAATGCTTTGGTGAAAGACACTAGCTCAAGGACAGCCAGTAGCCTTTAAATAAATACCCTGGCATATATACATACAGACATGCTTGCTGTCTCACTTCACAGAGCAATGAGGAAACTAGTAAAAGTTGGTTTTACTTGATTACCAAGAAAAAGCCTAACACATTTGCTCTTTACCTCAGATGCCAGAAGAGGAAGTGGCCGATCTTGCGGTTGGATAACGCCCTGTCCAGCAGGAACTTGGTTAATTCACAGTCTAAGTAGGATTCATACTTAAGCACCTGGACAAGCTGTAGCAGATATTGGAACAATTCATGATCTCTGTGGACAGAAAGGCAAAACAAAAGACAACCTTATCTTTACTGCAACGAGCATACTTGCAAATACTGTAAAGACAAGACTGTCAGCCTTGTTCACAGTCCCCCGCAGCAGCCCTAAACATAAATAGAAAGGGACTCTGCGTATCCCTTGTGGTGAACACCTACGTCAGCTTCTTTAATGAGTTGATAGCAAAGGAACCAACATAACGGTCAGGAAAGCTAAAATCCAGCAGCTCCAGGGCATTCAGGACAGGCAGCTCTGGCCAGGTCTGAAGCAGGGAAATCATCTGTAAGGGCAGGAAAAGAAAAATAGCAAAAAAACAAAACAAAAGCAAAAACCAACCCACCAAGATTTTTATGACAATAGATAAAAATCTAAAATTGTACTGATGGAAGAGCAGCTCCTTTGTGGGGGGTTAACCCTCTATCTTCATCACTGTTTATAGACCTCTCAGTTTGCAGAGACCTTGCAAGTTTGCAGACACCAGGTCAAAAACCATCAGTCTAAACTTTCTAGGAAGGCTGACTGACAGAAGGAGCCATGCAAGTCCAGGGCAGGGTTACATTTGCTGTACCACAATTAGTGGAATAACCTCTTTGGGAAAAGCACTTTCCTGCAGCGTAATAATGTAGACTAGAAAGGGACATTTAGAAGGTCCTGCCAAAGCTCTTGAAGTACGGAGGGATGAGCAGCGCAGAGACCATCCCTAACTGCTGGTGTCTCACTATCAGTTAAGAATAGCCAATCCAGATCCTATTTCTGCCATGAATTAAACAGATTTTTTTTCTTGCCTCCACTTTCTAGAGGTAATAAGCAAGACCTTGTTGGTCAGTAATGAGTCTGGGACAGCGCACAGAGCCAAACAGAGCCCAAGAAGAGCCAAACCTCAACTCATCTGGATACCACTCAGCATACATTCACAGTGACTGGTTGAGAACACAAAATATTCCCCAGCCTCAGTGCCTCCAAACCTACCTGCACAGGGGCACTGTGAAACATCCCCGGCTAAGCTGGCCTCCCAAACACCACAGGAACATAGACACTGAAAGATGGATCAAAAAGGGAGCCCATGCTGCCAACCTCACCTGGGCAACATCTTCATGCTTGTTCCATTTGGTGATGATAAGCAGCTTTGCCAAAGCTTGTGGGTACTGGTCACGGATATCATATCTCATCTTCCACACCAGGTCTTTCTCATGCTCATAAAGTTCAGTGTGGCTCCTCCGCTCCAGTATCTCCTTCAGTTGCAGCTTCTGCTCATGGGAATCACAGGAAAGATCATACAAAGGGCTCAGTCTCAACCCAGAGGACTTGCTCAGCCCAGAGAGACCCTGTAGGACTGCGGCATGACGCAGGTTGGTGAAAAAAAGCTGGTTGGGGGTAAGGTGCAAATATATAACTTTATCAGTGAAACCAGGCTTGCACGTAGCTGAAAAACTGAACTCGGAAGACTCACCTCCTCAGGATCTTCTGGTGCAGCGCGGGGTTGTTCTCCAGTCCTCCCCAACTCCAGCAGCTGGGACACAAATAAAGAGTCTGAGAAAGGCTCCTCATTTCCTCTGTAATTCTAGCTCACCATCACTTCAGGCATTTATGCTGCATTAGAGATCAGTCACCACCTCTGGAGAAGGGAATCACGCCTCACAGCCCAAGCTGTGTAGTGTACTCAGCAGGACCCCTCTGCTCAGCTGTGTAACCTAACTGCCCACAGAGCCCCTTCCCTGGTAGTGACGAGAATGAAGGGATGAGCCCTTTCCCCCAAAAGGACACATCTGCACACCCATACAGTTTGTGAACGGGGCTCTGAGTCACCAAGCTCCAGGCTAACACAAGCCACACCAGATTCTTAGAACCGGCATGCTTTTGGCAATCAGACAGCGCTGCCCAAGCCACCCTGCACACTAGCATAACCCATTAAAGCTTCTGAGCCAGAACATGCATCATGGGGGCGCATGTGGATATGTCCCTGGCAGAGCATATCTCCTTTCTTTCCTGTAACAGGCACATTTCTTCTTCCACTTTAAGTGTTTGGCCAGTTGCAGTGACAGATGGAAAATCCCCATACCAGACGGCATGTTACCACTCTGTGCTGAAAGGGAAGGAGCTGTCTACTTTCACTCATTTCCCCTTTTATTCCTCTTCCTTCCTACAGAGCAGAATGCTGCCTGCAGTTTAAAGGTGGCTCACTTAAACCTGGTTTTTAAACAAATGCTCTCATAGATGATGAGAGCAGCTTTACTTCAGGAATTCACAGGAGTTCACAGCTTGGAAAAGTATTCACTCAAAGGTCCATCAGTTAAGAGAAAAAGTCACATTTTCCATTAACAATATACCCGGTCCCTGTTGACAGCCACCCAAGAGACAGCGACACTGTATGCTCCTGCACCAGCAAAGCTAGGAAATTTCTGTGCCTCCCAAAAAAAGCATCTGTGTCTCCTACCTGCTCAAATGACGGGTAATACACAGGATGCGATGCAACGCTGGGGAAGCAGATGACCAAGGCTGCTGCACTTTCTGTGTTGGGGTTGCATTGTACTGTGCCCATGGGGTTCAGAAGTTCCCCTTTCTCATCTGAAAACCAAAGCACATAAACCCATGAACCCTAATCTTCCGAAGCTTTGGTCCAGAAAGCAGAGCATAGACTGCTTCCAGCTCTGTCACTGGACATTGCCTGGCCCTAGCAGCTCACTTCATTTTCCTGACCTCTCACACGTGAAGTATACGTGGCATCTTCAGGACAGAAGCAACCTCTCATATCATACGTGCAATGCCAAGCAAAGCAAGGCCTTCACCTTGGCAGGGCTCTAGATGCCATCACAATATAGAGTAATCATACTGGGTCTGCTAGTCTGAACTATTATAGCCCCTCCTACAACCTAGTGAACAGCAATGCAGAGTGCAGGGCATCTCCTGTCATTACGGTGGAGACTAAAGACACCAAACAATACAGTAGCTCTGTCCCCTGACATACCTGGAAAGGAGGACCACATGTGCAAGCAGCACTCCCCTGTTTTCAGCTGATCCTTATAGTCAAAGAGCATGACATTCACCCAGGCAATCGGGCAGTCCTGCAAAGCAAAGAACGAACCTCATTTGGGTGCTATAACTGCAAGAGCTGAATGAAGGTAGGAGGAGAACTAACAAGAAAGTGAGATATCCCCATGCAAAGCAAACCTCACAATAGCCAGGAATAAGAATTTACATCATCTTGATCTTTTCCAGGTCTGCAAATTGCTACACAGAACGCTACATGTAGGTAACTTCCCATTCAAGAGTATGTAGGCGCCCCCCTCGCCAAGGAGTTGCTATAAAGCATATACTGCCCCAGGTAGCTATGCCTGTCTGCTTACCTTTTAAGTTCTCCTAAAATCAGAGTACAAGATGACCGCAAATTCAGATATTTGCCAAAATCTGGCACCTTTTGTGTAATGCTGAATGGCACCAAATGCTCCCCACAAATGATGAAGTCTAAAACTTCATCACTCACTATTTTACATAGCTGAAGAACCTCCAAGTTTCCAGGAAGGCCTTGCAACTCTACGTTTGATGTTTGAAGGAGTTATGACATACATACTTCATATATTTCACAGTTTGAGGGGAAGGAGAAGAACCTTAATTTTTAAACAGGGAACACAGAGTTAGCATGACTTCAGAAAACTGGACAAAGAATGCTAGATATGCCTGATAATGGGAAGAAAAGGCTTGGCTCCTTTGTACAATAATAAACACTGTCTACAGAAATCAAACTTTAGGCTGCCAATCCCCCCCTCAGGCCCCCAAAATAAAACCCACAAGCCCAACCCAGTCACACAAGCCAGTCTCATTTTGGAGGTGGGAGGCTCCAGCAAGTAAAGCAACTGGGACATGGCCAAGAAAGAGATCCCGTCTCCCTGCTCTAACCCAGTTCTCCGCCACCAGAGCAGACAGACATACTCTACAAGTGACCTAAGATTTCCTGCAGTCAGGTTCCCCAAATGGAACAGTTTACTTCATATAACAGTTTCAGCAACACCAGCATTTCACTTAACTCACAGAAAACACCAAGACTTAAGCATACACTTAAGAAACTGACTTGCGAAGAGGTTGCGAGGCAAAATTCTAGTGAGACCCACCCACAAACAGTGTGATATTTGAAGGGAACCACAGCGAGACATCTTGTTCCACTGAGACATTCTAGAGAATGTATCAGGCTTACCCCAAAGATAGACCAAAGGACTTGGTAGAGGTAGCAAAGTCGGCATTTTTCCCTAATGCAACAAAATGAATAATTTCCAAGTGGCCTCTCATAAACCTTTGAGTTGATTTGATTAGACTAAGTATCCTCAGTAAAATCCCATTTGAGACATCAGCTTCTAGATTATAGGGAAAAGCCAAACAAAACACCGCCACCAGCAGTAACCTTTTCTAACAGAGCAAATGACATCAAACCACAGCGCAGAGCCTGCCAAAATGCAAGGCAAGATTTTTGGTGGGTAAGGTCCAGCAAAGCAACGATTCAGCATTGTAAAGACAGAAATATCTCCTGCGTGACTTACAGAAACACTGAAAGCCAACCCTCTGGGTGACATTAACCCTCTGACTCATCCCAGTCAGGCTGCAAGCATGCCTGTTTTTGTGGTAGGAAAGGGTTTAGTCCCACCTATCTGCTCTGGACAGTCTGCATAGACAAACAACATGCACGTAATTAACCTCCGAGTACTGTATGCAAAGCAAGCAAAAAGATGATTAATCAAAAACAAAAATGAGGGTGCACTCTGACTGTAGCCGCCTCTTACCAATCATTTTAAATGAGATCTTGGCACCTTACTCAGAGCTGCAGCTGACCATGGGGAAAAATCCATTTCTGCAGAGCTCAGCTCCAGCAAATGTTGTCATTTTATACTAAGAGCTCACCAGAATGCATTACCTTTGCCCAATGCCAGAACACACGTGAACAAGATCCTCTTAACAGTCAGCTAACCCTGGTTTTGTTTTGTCAATCAGAACAGCAAGATTTTCAAAACTGCTTCAAAACTGAAAATTGTCCCAGTGTGACCGCAAAAATGCAGCCTGTGGATGAATCAGATATTCTGTTCAACAAAAGCCTCCAGCACGAGATGGAGTTCTGCTATTATTAAGTAAAAAATACAACAATAAAAAGGTTGATCCTGGTCCTGGCCTCAAAATATTTCCAGTCTGAAGTCTCCAACCCAGGAACTGGTCCACAAAAGCAGGACTTGTGGGTTGCCTGTTTCTCCCCAGATATTAATGCACTGTAACCCTGAGAACCCTATTGCTGTCAACAGAACAAAGCTCAGGGAACCTCCCAGCAGCGAAAAGGAGCCAGCAGAACTGAGACTAAAATCTTCTGTGATCACATTGATCAGTCCCTCATTTCTCTGCACTCTAGTAAAGATGGCATGACTAATCCTCTGTTTAAAGCATGGTAACTTGTTTTCATGGCTGAAGAAACAATAATATGCAGAGAAATAAACACATTTGTTGCTCATAAAGAAAACTCTTCACATACAAAGAGCTAGAGGCATCGTGCTCAAGTTCCACCACTGGGAAACCAGCAATTCAATTACAGACTGCAATTAGATCTACTTTTAGCTCCTGAATTATCAATGGACTAGAAGTTTCAGAACAGAGGTGAGGAAAGTGAGAACTATCACTACATCTCTGATTCAGAAGCTCAGAACAAGAGCTTCCAAAGTGATTTAACTTTTCACCCTCAGTTTGCAGCGTCTGAACAGTAAAGCTTGAAGATTCTGCACTTTTATTTTACCTGACCTCAAGTTTTGCTCTAACCAGTGTTTACATTCCTCAGTTTCTTCCCCCTTATTAGCTGTCAATTTGCTCCATTGGGGATTTGCATGAAGGACCTTACTTAGAAAGAAGACGCAACACAGGAGATGGTTTAACCTCAATTACAAAACAAGGAAGTTGCAGAACAGCAAAACATAGACACTAACACAAATAATTCCTCTTCATGTGCATTCAGATGCTGGGTATGTTTCTTAACGGTCTTTCTGAACAAGAAATTACATGTAAACAACCTTTCCTACAGGCAGCCACTCCTCAGTTTCCTGTTCCTGTTGAAGAAGTTACTGGCCATCATTCTGTAAGCTGTTTTATTAATAAAGACTTCTGAAAGCAAAGGGCATTTGATTCAGAATGGCATCCTGTGCCCTCCAGCACGGGCAAGCCTGGCTCCGTCCCACACTGGCTTTACTCACAGCTTTCTTCGACTTCTTCTTGGTGGAACGTGCCTTCTTTGCCTTCTCGATGACAGCATAGAGGGCAAAGCAGAGCCGCGCCATACGGGGAAGATCACAGATGTTAATATCGAAATCCAGCCTCTGCTTCCACACTGGCTCTGAGCATACATTCACTTCAGAGCTTGACACTGTCTTGCACAGCATCTCGTTGCCATGAAAGAGACCTGCTTGCACCACCAGCTGAGGGAAGGAGAAACAGGAGAATACCATGAATCCACAGGGACTTGACCTGTTTGCTGAAGTCGCATGATTAGAAGAGGAACGGGACAGGGCATCCACTCCCCAGAACAGGATGCCCTACTCCTCTCTCTTTCCCGATTCACTTAGACATTAAGTTCCTCTTTACTCAACTTCAGTAAGGGCACTGTTATCTTCTTACTTCATGTGGGCTTGCAAGAGCTGCTTAATCATTGCAGAATGCTTGTGTAATCCATTGGTAAGAGCATTACAGGTTTCATCCTGTAAAGCCCAGCAATGTAAATATTCACCAAACCTTGCCCACCCAGATGCTGCAAAAGCTCAGGAACCTGTCACACCGAAGAAGCAGGGCAGACACCAAGAGCTGGGCAAGTGCTTATGCCAAAGAGGAGGCAAATCAGCATGACAGGAGAAGGGCGCGTGCAAACAGCTGAGCCCCAAAACAGCCCTGCAGCGCAGTGCCAATGGCAAGCTGTCTGCAGGTGCACGTTTGCCTGTACGCCTGCACTGCTCTTGCAGTCTGCCAGACCGCTGTACGGCTGACAGGCCAAGCTCATCCCCAACGTCACCAGTATGGCTGGCTAGTCTGAGTCACAGGAGTCCTCCCCAGGAGAAGCTCCTTGCAAATGATGGGGCACTGGGCAGAAGAAATAACTATTTAATTGCCTGTTTCTTTAAAAAGCCTTGCCCTGCAGAACACCAGTATATTCTTGTCCTGTTTCCTTCCTTTCCCAAAGAGCAGCCATTCCCCTTCTCCTCATTCACCTGAATGAAAATCCCAGGGCTTTGCTGCATCATGCTTTCTGTCTTAACTTTACCAGTCACCACCTCTCCCATCATTCTCTCTTCTCAGAGCTGAATTTCCCCTCCTCTGCTTTTGCAGACTCCCTTGCCTCTCCACACCATTGTCAAGTGATATCACCACAGAGCAGCAGCTCCGTTTGCTACTTGGAAACTTTTGCAGGGGAGTGTTTCTAAGAATGCACTGCCCCATTACTGGGCTGCTGGCTAGCAAGTTCCCTTCCCCTTCCTGTTGTGCCTCAGTTTAGAAACTGTCCAAAGGCCAAGCCTTCATTATGCTTTGTTCTGGCGAGATCAAACTGTTGGCCCCTGCTTTCCTCACCACACAAACAAGACAGGTGCAACTGGGGAAGTCAAAACACAAAACCAAAACCCCAAGCTGAGTTAGTACCTACCTTCATTCGCTCATCTGCATTGACCTTGCTGCCTTGCACCAGCTCAATGTAGAAAGGCTGCTCTAGGGACCAGAGAGAACCGTAGTTTGGCTAGAAAGAGAAAAGGGTTCTGATCAGAAATAGATGCAACAGAGAGTTCTCAAGCCAACACCAGACCTAATCTCTCATGACATGCTTTTTGCTCAAACAGAAAAGAGCACTACATCGCAGGCGGGCTACATGAAGTCTGTGACAACCAGGGAAGTTGTCAAGGCAGCTGGAAGGCTGCCTGGAAATTCCCAGCTCTTAGACCCTAGCTAGGAACCTGTCCTGTGAGAGGCAGGCAGAACCAGCTGCCATTTCCAGACAAGGTCAGCGTCTCCATCAACGGATGACCTGAGGGTGACCCCGCTGGGTCACTGTCCCCTTTTACCTTTTTCTTAGGGAGCGGGGGAGGCTTGGCAGCCATCTTTGGGGGGCTGGCAATACAGTTGGTTTGCTCATCTCTCATAGCAATGATAGTGGAGGAGTGTACCATGGTCAGGTGGGGCGTTAGGCCTCGGTGCAGGCAGCTGCGAATATACTGCAAAGAGAGGACAGAGTCAGCCTGGATGAAATGGAGCCAGGCAGGCAAGAGCAGTCAAGCAAATCAGAACTGGCTGAAGCAGAAACAGGTGGAAGGAGTATGGAAAGGACACAGCAACTATCAAAATTCAATTTTAATTTATCTCCTCTTGCTTTATAAACCTGCAACTCACTGGACTCATGCTGCCAGAACTAAGAATATGAAGTGCCCTTTATAGCTGGCATTTCATCAACTGACTCAAATGACTGCCTTAAGGGAAAACACTGAGAAGGATTCAGCGCTCCCAACAGTAGTTTGCCCTGCCAGGGGAATGCAGGATACAGGATTACTTGCCCAACTTTCAGCAAGAGAACCTCCAGCCCACCATGCAAGCAAACAGACATTTCCAGAACCATAATCTATAAATGCATTTACACAGCGCTTGGTACCCAGGGACAAGCTTAGATCACTACCCCCAAAAAATGTAAAGATCTGTTACATTGCTAGAAGTATCCCTTGCCCTAAGGAGCATCCAGATCCTGCCATTGATGTGTTGCATTCCAGTAAACAGCACTGCCTCCTTGATGGAGGATAACATGTCTCAATTCACCCTCCCAGCAAGAGGAGGCCATATGAGAACAGACTCATCCATAAAGCAAGACACAAGGCTCACCTGGAACTGGTACAGGGGGTAGTTCCCATAGAGATATTCACATTTCCCATTCACCTGCAGGGTGTAGTCCTCTGGGTTCTCCACTGTCTCATGGCGGAAGACTGTAGCCTGTTTCTTGATAGCATAGCTCATTAATGTGATGGGGAACTCCTTTGGGGAGATCTGGAAAGTGAAGCTCTCCTGCAATCCCAACAACACAGCATACGCTGTCAAACACCAGCAAAGGGCTGAGATCAGCACAAGGAGCAGCAGTAGCTCAGCGGATAGGTAACAACATTCCTGTTACTAACATTAAATAGAAGGATAGGAAGGCAGAATTACCCCCACACACACATTAGCAAATAAGTAGGGATGTTTGCCAAACTGGGCAGGAGCATGTTTCAACAGCGCAAGCGCAAGGCTGGAAATCAGGAACTTCCAAGTCCAGTTTAAGCAGAATCACCAGTTTGTGTGGTTGCTAGTTATTAAAAATCTTCCCACTGTCATTCCACCAGCAAGGCAGAGGGTGGCTAGGGTCACCATGCTCAAACACACTGCTCTGGAAGGCCCTTCTCCTAGGAGGGTGGCTCCTGCTTCATGCCCAGGCACAACATGCAAAAATCACATCAACCAAGGGTAGCAGGCAAACAGGGGCCCATGGGCAACACAGACCAATGCCTGCAAGCAGTGTATGCTGAGCATGAGCTGAGCAGGCTCTTGGGCTTCAAAAGGAAAGGCATGTATTGGATTCTGTGCTCCTCTCCTACCCAAACCCAAAAAGCTTTCCACCACCACACGTGCATGCAGCAACCTCAGCTATCAGCTAACCAGTACACCCAACGCATGTTCAGGAAGGGGAACAGGTCCCTTGGTTGGAGGCTCAGAGTCTCCCTCCCAACCATCTCCACAGGCAAAGGAATCTGGAGAATGAAGATGAACACTGAACACATGGAAACACTGTCCACACACACATTATTCTGTCTCCAAATGCCCAAAGGTTCCCAAAGGGAAAGCACAAACCAGTTAAACATGGTCACAGAAAAGTTTGTGCTTTACCCCGCCAGACTGAAACTTGACGTTGACAAAAATGTTCTTGGTGGGGGTATGTAGAAAGCCAGTCCCAAGGCCTTTGGCCATGGGCTCCAGCTGCAAGGGAAAGTTGTACTCCATCCAAGCTGCCCAGCTGAGCTGCTGCCGCTTTGCTGCTCTCTCCTCACAGAACTGGCACATTTTGGTGCGGAAATCATTCACCTCTGGATCCTGGACAGAGTCAAACTCATGCAAACCTAAGAGGAAAGTAAGAAAGACAAAATAAGCATCTGCACCCGATGAGGCAAATCGGTCATTGATAACAAAGTGTCTGTGAAACAGTCTTCCTAAACACATGCTTAGTATTTGCCCAAAAGGAGAAGAGGCAGCCAAGCTACTAATGATCGCTTATTTACTACGTACAATTGCACCAACTCCATTACTATAGCCCTCTGCCAGCAGGAAAGATCACCCTTCTTGGGTCTGCACACACACTGTTCCCTTACCAGATCCAGAGACCAAACTTGCCAATTTAATCTCCTGCATAAGCAGGGCTCCATCACTATTCCATATGTAGCCAGGCTGTCTGACAGAAGCACGTTTCACCTACAGCCAACACCCCTGCCAAGAGCAGCGATGGGGGAACTGACCTTTTCCAATGAGCAGGCTGATCTGGGAGTTAATAAGCTTCTTGACTCTGTCGCCTTCTCGAGCCACGAGCCGCAGTACCGGTAGGAAGGGCTGGATGTCACAAAGCCGCCGTTGCTCGTCCTCCAACTCTTGCTGTTCCGCTGTCTGGTTGATGCACGTGAAGACATAGGCCTCGGGGTCACTGAGCATATGGTACAGCGGCTCATACTGAGCATGCCTCCACACCACCTGGGCCAGACCAACAGCAGGGTGAAACTACCGCTGCACTGCCAGAACCTCGTCTTCCTCTTACTGTCACCCCACAACTTCACTCTCCCAAGATACACCATTTAGCGAAGGCAATGCCGAGCCAAACCTTCTCACAGCATTCCTGGATTTGCAATCACAGGCTGCTTTTCAGCCAAGTCTGGTGGCTGCAACTTGTGCTGAACTGCTGGGTAGATTTATTTGCAGATGCCTTTAACTGACTTCCTTTTTTTGTGCTTGCCATTTGTTTCAGGCAAAGTAAATCCCTCAGTCTCAGTATTTGAATAACCCCCACCGGAATATCTCACAGTAAGTACCTGCTAACTGCTAGCTTTGTGAAATAGAGGTATTACTCCCACTGGAAGCAAAGTTGGGATAAGTAACTTGCCCCCAGTAACGTGAAATCTGTGACAAGAGCCAAGAACTTTTCTGCAGTCTTCTTAACACTATCCAGTTCCCAGAGATCCTTCGCTCCCAGTGGAGAGCACTTCCACATGACTGTTCATATTCCATTTCTTCACTCTCATCTTAAGTGTCTGCTATAGGAGACAAAACTCCAGAGCAGATGGGCTTCCGGTCTGACCCAGTATGCCTACTGGCTGTAAAACACAGACTTGTAACTTAACAGCTGGAACCAATCAGCTCTACTTATGGTGATTTTTTTTTTTTGTTGGGTTTGGGTTTTTTTCACCTGAAAATTGCAGCATGAGAAAACTTGGAATAATCTGGCACTGTGCTTCTGTCCCTTGTGATCTGTGACTCATCTAGGCCAGGTTGCTGCTGCAGCAGAGAAAACCTTTTCCACTGTTCTCCTTCACTCTCCCCTACCCCTGCTTCCTGCCCAGGGAAACAAGGAAGCAGCTCCATTTCGTTTATACTAAGAAAAATCCTCTCTATCATTCCCATTCCCAATTTTCAGCATTCAGTTTCTGTGAGGTAAGAGAAGGCTGAGCGGACACCCTGAGTACTTTGAGTCAGACTATTTGGGGGTGACTTCTCTTACTTGCACATGCATACACAAGAGCTTTCACAATGAAAAATCCAGCGTGGGGACTGGTTGGGTCAGGTAAGCAGTAACTGAACACACAGTCCACAAGCCCTCTGTGGCCAGCTCAAACCTGCCCTCACTCCATAGTTACTCTAATTCTCATCCCAAGGTTGGACCTAGAGAATTGAGCCTGACACCACTGGCACCACCACCAGCACCCTGCTGTGGGCAGCCTCAGCAGCTAGATGAGGGTTTAGTGCATTGCAGAGGCTGTCACGAAGGAGGGGGCTCTCATAGTGAGTCACAGGGAACTGCCTCAGAGCAATGCAGAAGGAACCCAACTTGCACTGAGTTAAGATCCAACACATTTCCCCAGCTGCTCCCCAAGAACAGACTCCTTGTCCCAGGAATTGTAGATAAGACTACGGAACAAGGCTGTTACCTGCTTGATGGTGCCCAAGCTGGCATTGCAGGACACAGAGAGGTTTAAGTATATGCCTGTGGGCAGCAGAAAGTCCACCTGGATGTTTTGGTTTTCCCCCTTGGACCAGAATTCCATAGGGCAGTAAATGCCTGGGGGCATCCTGCTCACTTCTTAGGTACCACCTGGAAGAAAATGGAAAAAGTCTGTTGCTGTTGACTACATAACATCTCCTCAGATCTGTGCTGGGCTCTGTACTAAGTTAATATGCAAAAGAACCCAAAGAAAGGGAGGTTAGCATATCCTCAGCTCAGGAAAATATGCACTTTAGTCAAACTTCCAGTCCAGTGCCTTTAAGCCACAGAGGTGTTCTTGCTATAGCATTTGCTTCTATTTCAACACACCCCTTTCTTACTGTCTTCTAGACTGGGATTAACATCTACATCTGTATTTGACAAAGAAATTAAAGCATTATCTTCACTTGTGAACAAAGTCACTTTGTCCCCATAGCTCATCTACGACCAAGCAGCCAACAGAAACGAGTCCCTACCCCTGGCTTTGTAAGGCAATCCTCAGGCCACATGCTCCAGTCTCCACTTTGTTCCTCCAGAGCTCAGTTCCAGTCTGCAAGAGGGAGAAAGAGGTGTTGCTGGTTCTAAGTACGCGTGCATTTTAATACACACAAACAAGTAATCCTCTGCTGTATTATCATCCCTCTACAAGTACAGGAAAAATGAAATCTATGGCCGAGGCAATCAAAATAGGTTTGTTAATTCCATCTGCATCCTTTCACTTGGCAGGGCTCTACAATTTATTCTCAGTATATCCAAAGAATGCAAGTAAGAGAAAAAGAATCTGAATGCTATCAGGTACAAACTGTTGTTTTCAAACACAGGCTAAGCGTACACATGAACAGCTGAAACAAAAGGCATTCAGCAGAAGCCCGTTGTACCATTTAGAGACACGCAATACCAAAGTCAGAGAAACCTTCATGCTCCATCCATTTGCCCACCAGCAAAATAACACAGCAGTATAAAACTCCAGTTTCCTCCACAGATGAGAAGCAGCAGAGCGTGGTGTCCCCATGTGCAGGAAGAGCTTGGAGCTGCTAGCGTTAGCTCCTAGCATCTCTCTTCAACCACCTCAGCAGAGAAACCAGCTTACCTGAATTCCCTCTCACTTACCAGAGAGATTTTCCACCAGGTCAGCAGAGACACATGCCAGTAGTACAGCCTGGAGGGTGCTCACATAGCCATAGCTCGTAGCTGCTGTGGAAACCAAGGCTTCAACCCTCCTGCCAGTGTGATTCTTTGCTGGTTCTAAATTCAGCCCGGCACGTGCCCCGAGCAATTCTAACAGTATCACTTATCCTCCAGTAAAATATTTGCTCATTCTCAACTTAAAATATGGTTTTGCAGCTGTCAGAGTACAAACTTAGAAAGAAACCAAGCAACATGCTGCTGAAGATTTGGGTCTCCCAAATCATGAAGTCCTGCTGGCAGCTTCTCGTGAGCCAGCCCTATGCTTCAGTATGACAAGAAGCCCAGCATCTTATCTGCCAGTGCCTGGGAGCACGCTTCCCCATCAGCAGTGAGGTAAGGATTCCCAGAAATACGAGCTATGTTTTATCTGTCCTGCTTCCTCAGTGCACATGCTGTATCACACAGAGACCGGATACACCGACCACAAAACCACCCATGTGCCTTAAGAGGGAGGGAAGTAAAAGGGGGAGGAGGCAAGGTTTACAAGTTTGAATAAAGCAAAACAAGCTTGCCTCATCTTCTGCTCATGAACAATAAAAGCAGCAAGTTTCCAGAATATCTGCTACCTCAGCCTTTCCCAATGGCAAAAAGAGCAGCAAACTACCATGATACTACTGACCAGCAGAGACAGAAGGCACGACAACTGCTTCCTTCTCCTGAGGATTTCTACCTGATGCCACATCCCATCGGATATGAAGTACCCGTCTAAGCTATCAGCACTACAACGTCAAGTTCAAGTTGCTCAATACTTCGTCTTTCCAAACTCACTGATTATCTCCCAATCTAGAAGGATTTTTCCAACAGAACCTGGAGTGGATATGCCAAAAGAAGAGTGACTCTGGACTTGTATCGCCTGTAATACATTGTTTATCAAGCCTCTCCCCGTCCCATTGCTAAATTCAGAAGGCTCTACTAGATGGACCTTAGATCTGATCCAGTGTGACAGTTTTTACGCGAAGCAAGCTCTGCATAGGTTAATACTGCTGCACCACCCCACTTTCATCTTCCCTTTTGCCTTGGGAAACTGGAACAGAGTTCTCCAAGCTGTACCCTTGCTTGCACTATCTTGACCTTATGAGCACAAGTAATTACAATTCCCTTTTCTCTGGGTCATTTTGCCATTCGTGAATAGCCAAATGCAATATCACTCCTTTTTCTCAGGGTTTATGCTACTTGGGGTCATTTGAGATATGCTCTTTGTCTTTCACTCCTGCAGTCTTTAAAAAAAAGATTCCCCATTGCAGCTGTCAATTTTTAAAAGCCCCAGCATCATCTCAGACCTTCATCCTGGTGGACAGACAGATTATTGTTAAAAAACCTGTATTGTGGTAGTGTGGTGTTCTGACGTGCCATTGCAGCTGTCAATTTTTAAAAGCCCCAGCATTATCTCAGACCTTCATCCTGGTAGACAGACAGATTATTGTTAAAAATCCTGTATTGTGGTAGTGTGGTGTTCTGACGTGTAAGTCCTGGTAGCCTAAGGTTCAAGTTTATCAACCCACACTTGACAGAAATTAGTTTACTGCACAACTTGCATAGCTCTCAAAGCTAGGGCAAGCAAGCGTGAGACAGAAGTTTGTGTTTTAGTGGGATGTAAACCCACAGAAGCAACCTCAAGTAGGAACACAGGCTATCAAAGATCCCTGCTTATCAGTACTGGGCTGCAGCCGCCCACTTTCTACTGTAAGATGCCCCCAGTCCTCACTCTTCCAACTGTAGTATACCCCAAAACAGAATCATAGAATGATTTGGGTTGGAACGGACCTTAAAAACCATCCAGTTCCAACCCCCCTGCCATGGGCAGAAACACCTTCCACTACACCAGGTTGCTCAAAGCCCCATCCAACCTGGCCATCCAGGGATGGGGCAGCCACAACTTCTCTGGGCAACCTGTCCCAGTGCCTCACCACCTGCACAGTGAAGAATTTCTTCCTTACATCTAATTTAAATCTACCCTCTTTCAGTTTAAAGCCATTACCCCTTGTCCTAGCACTACATGCCCTTGTAAAAAGTCCCTCTCCAGCTTTCTTGTAGGCCCCCTTCAGGCATCGAAGGCTGCTATAAGGTCTCTTCTTGCTAGAATATTTCTACATTCCCCAACCTACATCTTCCTATAATACTTCTTCCTCCTCCACCAGCCACATCTCCCACAATCCTCAAATACTTGTTTTGAGTGCAAGGCAAGTACACCGTTGCCTTCTGACTCCAAGAACGCCAGGCCGTTTAGCAGGACAGGATGCACGTGGCGCTTTGCACCCCAGGGCTAGGAAGCAAAACGGACAACCAGAAGGCACAAAGCTCTTGGTCTACAGCTGGCACGTATATACACTCCATCCAAGAGAGAGACCTCAAGACTGGCTGGCCAGCTGACCTGTTTGGGTGGCCAAACAACTCATAACAGTGTGTACACCCAAGCTAAAGACCTGGCCCTCCTGCGGGCCAAGTATGTTGCTCTGTGAACTTCATGTAGCCCCTGAACTGGAGGCATGCAGGGCCTCAAATACCTGCTCATTCATCTCAGGCAGCAATTTTCCGCTGGGCTTGCTTGTACACAAGCCTAACTTAAAAACTGTCCCACAGTATGTACTTACTTGGGCAGGACACCTACAATGACGTGCTATAAAGGCTATGAGAGACAGGCTGTCTACAAGCTGTGCCATCTGTTGTGGCTCAGTGCCCCACTCAAAATAGTTCTTCTTTCGGGTTACTCAATACAGAGGGCTCACAAGCTGACTACAACCTGGAACATGCTTTATCCAGAACCCTACAAGGCCTAGGAAAGCCTTGTACTGACTCTAGGAAAGGGTATTCCACAGGCAGCAGTTGCAGGGGCAACGTCTCATTGGCAGTGCTGCTGGCATAGCCGAGCACACGAAAACAAGACACGGTTTGCTCAATACGTTACTCTGTTGTTTCCTGAGATGGGCAGGGCCCCAGCTGCCCTAAAGAAAGAACCACTCTTCCTATCCCACAGGGAAGCAGTAATGGAAGCTCTTTTCCCAGAAGCAGCAAGCGCGCTTGATGGGAACCTCAAATCTTGCGAAGAAAATGTGAGGAGTGACCAGCCACAACCCAATGGGAGAGCCCAGCAGTGGGACAAGTGGCGTGTGGACTGGCTGATGTACAGCATGGGCTGGGACTACCATCTGTGCAGGGCCATCACAGCTGCTTCTTTCAACCTGCAGATAAACAAGCTCTCAAACTGCAGAGCACAGTATCACTTCGGACTTCTCGGAGCACTTAAGAGGAAGAGAAATGCATGCTGTCCCACAACACAGGTCCTAAAGCATCAAGCACATGCCCAACAATAGATTTCCATGGGTGCAAACACAAAGCTATTCCCCACAATTCCCAGAGAATTCAAGTGACTCCCCTTTTCACATGTATTTCTGCTCTGTGGAATATTTTTGCAAGGTGAAAGTAAAAATCTGTGCAAGACAGACCTCCTCAGGAAACCAGGAATGCAGTACACATGGATGCATTCCACATGGACCCCTGACTCTGGTTCAGACCAGCCCAACAAGCAGCAAAAATTCCTAGCAGTGGACAATTGCTCCATAATCCCTCAGTAACTTTGAGACATGGAGTAATTTCCTAGGGGAGCAATCAGAAAAGATGCACCCATTGGTACCACTTACTTCCTTGCCGAGTCTCATATCTTACAATGCCCAGTCCTCTTCATCACTGGGCAAAAAAAGAAGTGGAGGAAAATACTCAATGAGAGAAGATACCAGGTTTCAGATGAAGGTAAGTCCTCAACTCCCTCTCCCTGTTTTGCCTCAATTCATTATTCTGCATGAAGGCTACAGATTGCTTTGCCCTCCTTAAGGTTTCCCCTTGCATTAATTAGCATGCAGGTAATAAATGTATATCTTTCCTGAAGAGGAGAGATGACCAAGGCAGAGCCAATATGCACACGGGACCAGTCCATGCAGCAGCTTACCAGGACAGAACAAAAAACTCCAACGTTACTGGATGCCACGTAACAAATATAGGCACAACGTCAGTAACAGGAGGTAGCGTATGTTCCGAGTTCACACACCCTGAGGAATGCATAGTTGCACATAAAGACAAATTTGTGCAGAGAGAAACAGACACATTTGAAGTTATCCAGTCAGTATTTAACAAGCCAGCAGCCAACATGAAACACACTAACACAAATCTCCTTTTATGAAGTTTATCAACCACAGCTCTGGTGTTTACAACATGCAACTGCTATTGAGAGAAAAAAAAAAAAAAAAAAAAAAAAAAAAAAAGCAGCAAGCTAGCAAGATCACACATGGAGTAGCGTTCCACAAACCTCTGTGAGGCTGCAGCGTTAGACAGACACGGAAGCTCTAACGCCCACAAACAGATTACAAAATTACTAAACCCCAGGACTACAAAAATACCTTTCAAGTTTATAAGAACTGAGTGGTGCAGAGCTCACAGGTGATGTGTGTAGCGTGGGAGACAGCAGGAAGTCACTTTCATTGCAGGCATCAACTTAGCTGGGGGAGGAGACCACGGGAATTTTCATGTACACACGTGCTTGACATGTCTTTACCACACAGTCAATACATCTAGCAGATTTGATCAACCCAAAGCTTCATAGGTGCAGTGTTCTGAAGGTGTTTTAAGCTTGGGCTTGTTTTTTTGGTGGGGGTCATGGGGGAAAACAGGTCCACTGTACACTGCGGGCAAGTCATTTCAGCACTGACGGACTGAAAAATTAACCCACAAATTCCCCTCTAAGAACAGGCTGGGAAAACTCCCGTAGCAGGTAAGTATGCCTCCAGAGACAAACAAGCAAGTCAAACCGTGACTGTATGTGTGATTTTTCTAGGGGTACTCCCCCCTTGCTGGGTTAGCTGGAGTCTCACACTGAGATGCCAGCCACTTAACCTAAACACACAGAAAAAACATGCTGTATCTGCTTCCCCTGTGGCACAACATAAAAAAATCCCCATTCAGCCTCCAGTCCCATGACGTGGATACAACCAACAGAAGCTCATAGTAAGACTGGCCTTTGCAGCTCTGCCTGCTGACAAGTATTGACAACCTGGCTATTTATTCCTCTAAAAATGAACACATGCTGGCGAGAAGTGCTAGAAACACAGCCTCGGGGACCGCCGGCCTGCAGAGGTGCAAGTGTCTGCTGTGCTGCCCCACTCACCCCAATCAAGCGGGGACCTCCGACGCAGCAGGTCAGACCTGATGCTCTAGCCAGCCTAAGGGATCCAGAGCAAGCTGGACTGAGAACTCACAGTTCCTGGGGACTGCCACCAAGAGAGACTCCGAGCCTGGACATTCAGTTAGCAGCAGCCTTTTACGCCTTTGCTGCCTTCCTGAATAATTGCTAACATCATTCATTTTAAAGGTGGCATTAGCAGGATAGATTTTGCTCTCGTGTCAACAGCAGTATTTCCTTTACAACTTCCATTAAGCTTTCTGTACAATACAGATCGGGGTCCCGACTGTGCTGTTGGGCCATTACTGCTCTTTCAGTTCCTG